CTAGATTATTGAATTCAATTGTTTCTAATTCTTCTTTATCCAGGCTGTTCCATTGACCTACTTTTTTATTTTTTTAACTAATACCTAATGGTGTCGGTGATTACAGCATTATAGTAATTTATAATGAGATCTAGAGCACTATTTCTCCTTTATTCCTTTTTTCCATTATTTTATTTGAAATTCTAGACCTTTTGTTCCTTCAAATGAATTTTGTTAATATTTTGTCTAGTTCATAATGGATTTTCTTGGTAGTCTGGTATGGCATTAAATCCCTAAATTTATTTAGGTAGTATAATAATTTGTATCATATTGGATAGACACAGCCAAGAGTACTAAATATTCCTCCAATTATTGTCATTCTTTATATCTTTGAGTGTTTTGTAATTATATCTATGCAAGTCTTAGGTGTGCCTTGTTAGACTGACCTCCCACATATTCTATGTATCTTATTGCTGTTTTAGCGGGACTTCACTTTCTATTATTTCCTCCTGGATTTTGTTATTGCTATATAAAAATGTTAACATCTCTTTTCAATTACTTTTGGTTATATTTAAGGAGAAGATCATCAAATGTTACAGCTGGAAGAGATTTTGAAGATAACTAGTCTAGACTTCTCATCTTACTTCAATTCTTTAAAGATTTGTGATTTTTTTTAATGTTGGCATTCCCTGTTCTAATGCAGATCACCATTCTTCTATGACTTAGCAAATTCTCAAGTTGATATGTCTGCAAAATTTATCAACTTTAGACCAACCTAGTCCAACTGAGGAAGTTTGGTCATAAAATGAAAGATATACCATCATGGGCCCACATTTAAAGCCTTTCCATATTGATAGAACCTACAAAAACTGACATGAACTTAAAGAACCAAGGATCACTTTCATACCACAATGTGGCATTACAGTAGGACTTTAATGGAGGCAATTTACCCTTTTTATTTTATAGATGAGAAAAATGAGACACAAATTGGAGATGTAACTTGCCCAAAGTCACATAGCTATGTAATAACAATAATAGAACTAGAAATTGGCTATCTACACTCCAAGTCTAAGCCTCTACATACCATGCCACTTTCTATTATTTCTAAAATCTCATCAATGTGGCTACTATATCCAACAACATATATGCTTATATAGTACATACAACACATATACATGTATATGTATATGTATATACACATAATCGGATACCAGACAGTCTTTACTTCACCTCACAGAAAATGCACAAACACAAAGGACTCACAGGAAACATAAACTTTCCTTTTCCTTTTCTCCAAGTCCTAATTTCTCCCAGACAAACATACATATACACCTGCGTATGCATATGTATATGTCTACATATACACACATATACATATATATATACATATATATGTACACACACACACATGAGAAGATTCTGATATTCATAGGAAGCTATCCTGGAAGTAGGAAACCAAAGACCAATTTGTACAGTGTATCCTCAGCATTAAATCCGGTCTTTTTGAACTCGAGTGCTGTTTCAAGTGTTACCTAAAATAATGTTTCTTCTTGCTTTTAGATCAATGATAAAGCCAAATCTACCAACTTCTTGAATCTGCTCTTTGAGTAAAACCCATCTGATATTCTTCCCATTATTTGCAACTTCTCTATGTTTTCAGATTTCATTTTAGCAAGTATGCCAAAATGAGTGTGGCTAAGTGCCACCGGTAGTTTCTCAACTCCTAGGTCACTAGACAAAAATCATAAACTAAGAGAAGGCAACATAGTAGGATAGAAGGAATACTGGATTTGGAATGAAAAGACCTGAGCACAAATCTCAGCTGTGCCATTTATTAGTTGTGTGACCTTGAACAAAACCTATAACTTCTCTGATACTTAGTTTTTCATCTGTAAAAGGAGAAAAATCATACTTGTACTACCTATATCACAAGAATTCTAAAGATCAAATAAAACCATGTATATGAAGGATTTGTTATGCTTGGCCCCCAAAGGTAGAAGCTACAGGGGCTAGATTTATATTGACGTAAGAAAAAATGTCTAGCAATAAGAATTGTCTAAATTGGGATGGGCAGCTTTAGGATGTCATGGATTCCCATCAATTGGAAGTTTCCAAGTAGTAACTGGATGACCACTTGTTGAAGATTCCAATATTAATAATAATCACTGACATGAATGTATCACTTGAGGTTTGTAAAACAATATGGCATAATTAACAGAAGTGGGCTCACAGTCAGGAAAAGCTGGTTTTAAGTTTTGCCTTTGACACACTGTTTGCGTGACCCTGGGTGAGTCATTTAATTTTTCAGTGCCCTAGGCAACTGACTAAGAGCAAATGATGCAAAGCAGGTGCCAACATTCATAAATAGAGGGAATTTCTTCATCAGGAGCTCCCAATACCAATGAACTTACAGGTTTTGTCCAAAATCCAAAATATTTCCTGAATTTATGAATATCTGTATGTCCTTTCTGTCTTAAGTAGTTTCTGAGGTGGGGAAAATAAAAAGTCATCCCATAGCTGATACCCATATTGTACACTGAGTATCTTCTGGGAGGAAACCCTTGTACCCACATACAGAGAAAACACTAAATATGAATCAAACCTAAGTTTTGTTTTAGAGATTTTCCTGAAGTGTCCTTGGGTAGAGGAGACAGGGAAAGGTTGATCAATAAGGCAGAGAGATCACAGGAGCACAGATTTATATTTGGAAGACACCTGAGAGACCACCTAGTTCAACCTTCTCATTTTACAGATGAGGAAACCAAGGTCCAAGAAGGCTAAGTAACTTGACCAAGATCATACACACAGATAGTGACACAAGTGGGATTTGAATTCTGATCCTTTGAATCCAAATACAGAACCTGTTCTCTGCGGGCAGGCCCTGATGATGAGGCCCAGATCTGTGTGGACCTGGAGGCTTTTGTGAAGGCCTATTTCTTAGCTGAAATGAATGCCTGATGCAACAAAATTCAGGTATAATTTATTAGCAGCAAGAATAATTACTTATCTCATTTATAGCTTAATTACAAATGTTTGGTAATTTTATGTTTCATAGAACTATTACAGATGTAACTGGTGCATTCATATTGTTTGGCAGATATCCAAAATAGAAATTTACCAAAGGAGGGAAAGTGATTAAAGGGAAATAAATGACTTCAGTATTTCCCTAGAAAATTGATAAAATACAATTACCAGCAAATGTAAAAACTAAAGATCTTACATATGGAATCTGGAGGGAAAAGTTCGAATTATAGACTGATTGTACAATGAATGTTCAAAATAAGAACTGAAGAGAGTAAAACAGTAAAAAAAAATCAGTTATTAAAAACACTGATAATGCTAATTTTAAAATAGATGTTTTGGATCACTGGCCCTTAAGAGACTGATCAAATGAGATAAGTGTAAAGCACTCTGCAAACCTTACACTTATCTCATTTGTTAGATTTTAGAGAAAACATGGCATCATTGGTTTCTTCAAAAGTTTCAACTACTCTAGTTTAATACTTAATAAAATTTTTGAGACAGTTGATTTGCTGTAATAAATTCAGAACCAGACACTTCTTGTACTTACCAAAGTCGACTACTCCTTACTCCCTATCATTAGCTCTTTTCATTATTTTTGTGCCTTTTCTCTCAAATTTATTAATTTTTATTAATAGATCATTAAGTTACCATAATAACATAAATGTCTGGCTTTGTTTAGGAATACATTCATGAGAAATCCTGGAGATGCTCCATTTGTAAAATTTTAAAGCAGGAAAGGATCCCTGAGATTATCAAGTCCAACTTCATCTATAGATTAAGAAATTACTCTGTAGGAAATTTACTGCCTGTCACCCTGATACCTTGGTAATTGCTACAATTTGATCAGCCCTTGAACATCACTAAATTTGTTTATACAGATGGTCAGAATGGGATGACTGTGCCCAGCAACCTTGTCCTTCGGCTCCAGAAGTGATTTGGTATTTTGCACCTTTCTTTGTATTCCCCAGAACTTAGCACAGTGCCTGGCACGAAGGAGGCGCTTGATAAACGCTTGTTGCTTGTTGTTGACTGACTTTGTTGAGTTATTATTGCCTCATCTTTCCTGAGGAGGAGGAGGAGGGGGTTGATTGATCCTGTACTATTGGCACAGAAACTGAACACAACCCCAGGTCTTAAAAGTGTCTTCTTTTCCTCCTCTACTTCTCCCCCACCCCACTCCAGTTAGCTTGGTACAGAGATGGAGGGCTGGACTTGGAGGGCGTCACAACACCTGGGTTCTTTAGCTTTGCCATTACCATAGACTAGTGACTTTGGGCCAATCAGTTCACCTTGCTGGCCTTCATCTTCCTCCTCTGTAACAAGGGGGTCACAACAGGAGCCCTTCCTGCTGTGGGGCGCATCCGCACAGAAGTCAGCCACAGCAGGGTCTGCCTCAGCGTCCTCTTAAAGATGGATCTCAGCCCCAACGTCTCAACAAAGGCCAAATACCGTGACGGGGAGGGGAAGGGACATGGAGCAAGTCCAACAAGCAGACGCAGGTCCACTCACAGAGGGCAAAGGAGGAGAACGAAAGCTCGCTGCCCTCACTCACGCCTCCTCTCCTAGCACGGAACTTGGGCGAGGTTGGTTGCTATGGCGACCCCTCTGCGAGGCTGAGCTCCCTATTGGAGGAGGACCAGACCAGCTCCAGCCCATTGGTCAGGAGGCCAGAACCAATAGGAAAGCGGGATGTTTACGACGTCTCAAAATGGCCGCCGGATCGCGCCAGCCGGTCGGGTGAGTAGTTCCTCGTCCTGTGAGTTGTGGTTTTCAGGGAGGTTTGGAGCCTTTTGGGCTTCCCGGCGGGGTGCAGCTTCTTCCTAGGTTGAGGAAGCGTCGGGCAGCTCTCTGGCCGGTCCCACTGGCCTTTCGGTGGCCGTGGCGGCGGCCGCGACTGCGACCGTGGCAGCATCGAGGGATTCGGATTTGGTCTGAGGGGAAAGGGACGCGGTGTCTGTGCCTGTGGGGGCTTCCTTCCGCTTCAGGCTGCCCACGAGTGGGTGAAGGCCCTGGGGCTTCTCATTGACTCGCATGACGTTCATGTTTCTAGAAATACCGTGTTTTAGAAAATAGAGATAGAAAGAAGTCAACAGGAGGCACGAGATCTTAGAAGCCCCGGATCTGAAATCTGGGGCTCCTCGCTCAGGATCCCCCCACCCCGACCCCCCGAGTGTTTTTCCTTCTGCCCCAAGTTGTGATTATAGTTGAAGAAAAAGGTGAAATAGGAAGAATGCTGGGCAGGGAGTAATGAGGAGGCCCAGACTGGGGACCTAGCCCTACCACAGATTGACTGTGTGGCCTTGTGCGTGTCACTTCCCCTCTGGGCCTCGGTGTTTCCCTTTGTAAATGGAGAGGTTGGACTGGGGTGATGTCTAAGATCTCTTCCAGCTCTGAGGTTTGATTGTGAGTTCACTGCAATCTGAGAAGAGCCTCCCGAATTCCGAATTGCACTGCCAGCAGAAGCAGTCACTTTGTAAATTTAAACCCTGTAAGTATGCACTAGGCAGCATCTCACTTATCCCAAGCCTTGAGATGGTGTGTGATGATTGTGGATGTTTCCATACTGGCAAGGCCGTTAAATTGGAAGCAGTGGAGAAGTGTTTTGTTGTTGTTTTCCCTCTAGTTCTCAAATTAAAAAAACCAAAAAAACAAGCAGTTTAGAACATTCTTTTTCCTATGCTTTAAAAGCCTTTTGAAGGGTTTATCTTACTTGTCTTTAATTTCAGGAGAGACTCTTAATTTTGTAATTTCCTTGTATTTTAGGAAAAAGGAAGCATGCATTTGATGCCTTTTGACATAAGTAAAAAAAAATCTAATACTTATATTATTCATTGTTTTTGTATATAATTCTAATTAAATCGTTCTGAATTATGTGTCTTATTGCCATGTTTGTTGTATTAGAATATTCAAATGTCGAGGACTGTAGTATTTATTTCTTATGATTATTGCTCCAGTAAAGTAGAAATAGTATCAGAAGATTTGAATTTCTGTTTTAATTATTCAGTTTAGGAGAACTGGTAATAAAGCACAACTGCCCAAGTAATGAAAAGTAATATATTTCATAAACTTTGGGATATTGAAATTTAGAATAGTGCAGTGAATCAAGTGTTGAATTTGAAATTAGAGAGACCTGGGTTTGAATCTTAACATTGTCACTTAACACCTTTATGGCCTTAGTCAAGGCTATACTCAATTTTTCTGGGCCTCAGTTTCCTTATTTGTAAAATGAAGTAGTTGGAATAGATGACTTTTGGCCCTTTCCAGCTTAGAATCTTGTGATCCTAAGTAAGGGATATCCTTTGAAGTGGTAACTGTTTAGATAGTATCATTTTATTCTTTTGAAGTTGGTATCTTGGAAGGCAACTGCCATGTTCTACAAAACATACTGCTGTCAAAATATTAGACATTGTGGATTAATCTTACTCAGTATATCTTTTATCATTTTCTTTTCCTTATAATGTAAAGAATTTAGCCAGATTTTAACAGTTATGAAATTCAGAATTGATTGCTGATTTAACCCTTAAGATGTATACATTTTAACTGATTCCTTGCCTTTATATAATAACTGCTTAAAGCAGTTTCTTAGAATTCTGTGTAGAATGTACGTTCAAGTGGTTTACAGTGAAAAATGTAGTTTGTATTGATTCAGATTTAAGATGACTAAATGTTGTCAGCTCACAACTTTTATAATCCATTTAGCTTACAAAAATAGAATCTAAATGAACTTTATATTAATTATTCCATTAAATGTATTTTCCAAAACATATAGTCATGGATTTTTTGAGAGGGTTCTACATCTGGGAATATGATGCTTCTATAAGAATGAATTTGTGGAAAACATGTCTGTATCCAGATTAGAGAGAAGCATATTACTCATTTATTTACTTCTCTTAATATAAAAATCATTGGTTTCCCTCCAAAGGTTTTCAACAGCCTGTTCTCTATGCAAAAGCTTTACTTAGATAGCAGACTTATTTTGCTGTCTGTTACTATGCTATAGTTTGCTATAGTTGTATCAAAAACTCTTAAGGATTGCTTTAAAGATAATACTGAATAATGCAGGACTGCAAGTAGACGATAGCTATTGACTTCTTTTTATATCATTGCTGCCTTTTTCTCCTAATAGTCGTACTTAGGAAATTGATGCTTCCCAATTCCTATCCTGGGGTTTACTTTTGAAATACTTCACTTGAAGAGCAGGATTTCAGCCCCCACTCCCTCCAAAAATAGCAGTCATGGGAGTAGTCTTTATGCTTGGGAGAGAAACCTTGCCCACTAAAGTAGAATACTCATTACATCGTGTGATCTAGAGAACAGTTATAGTAAAAACAACAAAAAAAAAATCTGCTGATTAGGTATGATGTGATACTTCAAGGCTTAGAATGATGTTAGGTCTAGAAGAAAAATTAAGAGTATAGTCAATCCTTCATTTTATAGTTGAGAAAATAACCCAGTGAGATTGACTTGCACAGAGATTAACTTGCAGCAAGTTCGTTTCATGATTTCAGCCTGGAAAAATTGATCTCTTTACTCTCAGTCTAACGTTTTTTGTATACCATAGTTCCTCTGACTACTGGCTTTCTGTATGGCAGTTATTGCTATTGCAGAGCACATAATATTCTAGATATTTAAAACAGGAGAAAATATAAATACCAACTCTGGTTATAACTAGTCACCATTATCCTAAAAGTGCATTTTGCATCAAGCTCCAATATATACTAATTAAATAATTGATGAATAGATTAAATGTGGAATTTCAGGGCACCTGGTGGGTTTGTGTTGAAAGTAATGAAAAATAAAATGATTTGTACATAAGGAAGTCAGAGAAGTTTCTGTCTCACATTTTGATTTCTTTTCTAAAGTAGATCAATTAAACAAGTAAGTTACAAAATTCAGTGGAGTCTTGGAACAAGTAATAGATTTGGAGTCAGTGAACCTGGATTCCAGTCTCTATTACATTCCTGCCTGTGTAATCTCAGCAAGCTACTTATTGTTTCTGGGCCTCAGTTTCCTCATCTGTAAGAGAAGAGTGGATTAGATAATCTCTAAGGTTCTTTCCACCCTCTAAAGCCTATTATCTGTCCTGATCAGCAATATAAATAAAATGGAAACTAGTTGAGGACCTGGCTCTAATGGTAACTTCTTTGTAAGTTATGATCAACTGTGACATTTTCTTCTCAATAACAGGGCCTGTGATTTCATTGGTATGGGAATTCTACTGATATACTTCATAACCTACATATATCTTATAATCTTGAAAGGTACCTAAAACTCAGAGATGTTAATTCATGGTCACATAAATGTCAGAGGTGGAATTTGAATCCAGGTCTTCCTTACTACTAGTCCAGTACTCTATTTGATATATCATGCCTCCTCCCTCTACTTTCCAAGCTTACTTTTCTTTCTTTAAAAAAATAACAATTAGATATTGTACCAAGTTTTCCTAATAGTGACAAACTTTTATATTACAGTATTTACTAGTTTAAAACTAGCATTTGTTTCCCTTTCTGCTGTGCGTTCTTCCTGACCTTTCCACCCCAAAAATGTTTTTCAGGTTCAGTATTACCAATGTTAAATATATCTTAATTTTTAGCTTAATATTATGTCTTTTAAAATAGTGTTAACATTGAGTAGTTGTTTTCTTGAGATTCAAAATGCTATTTTGATTCAGGTCTTTAAAAAGTCTAGGTTCTTTGTTTCTTTTAAAAGTTTCATGTATGCCTTTTTTGCTTTTATAGCATAGTCACATCTAAGTGTATATTCCTTTTGTAACAAAGGAAAACAGTAAGACAAAATTATTTTGACAGTTGAGATAGGTTTTATTTTGTTTTTTATATTTCTTTTTAATTACTAAACGAAATGTGCCCCTGTATCATCATTGTTATTGTTGAAACCCTAAATAAACTTACTTGGCACTTTTATTTTCTATTGGTCTTAAAGTCTTTCCTCTTTTCCATTTAGAAAAGAAAATGTGGAGTGGACTATTACCACCTGGGATGAATGAAAGTGATATTGAATTGAGTTCTGAGGATGAGACTACATTGAAAATCTCAAAACTTAGTTCAAAGGAAGATAAGGGAGATGGTGTGACGGAAGAAGTTGGGTTTTCTGTTTTCCGTCCTGGTGGATCTAAAAATGAGGCAGAGACAAATGCAAAAAATGCTGATGAAGAGTGTCCATCTGGAATTCCCCAAAATGTGTGGAATGTAAGTTTTTCTGAAGATCTTTTGTTGTGCTGGGGGAAGGGGGGATTGTGTCCATGCCATTCTTAGAACCATGTTATATTCGAATAGAAAATTACTGTGTCCATAAGGGTGCTTTATGAAGTTAGCTTTGCCCTGGAGTAAAAAATCTTGAATTGATATTAATTGACTTTAGAGGTGGTTTCCATTTTTTGTTTCTGAAGAGATACTAACTAGTAATATTGACTCATATCTTTATTTAATCTTGGCCACAACCCTGTGAGGCAGATACTACAGGTATTCAGCCCCATTTTACAGATTACACAACTCAATTTCAGAGAATTTAAGTCACCTGCTTGTAGTTATAACCTAATAAATGTCAGAGGCTCTTTTTGAGTCTAGGCCTTCCTGATTTGCATTATGCCATGTTGGCTGCCTCTCAGACGAATAGATAATGCTTGCTAAAAACTGATATACTTAATGAGAGTTAGCTTTCCAACAAGTGAACTGAAATTTTCTCCCTTCCGTATCTTTGTAATAATTCATTTAACCTACCTGCCAGATTAACAGATGGCTCTCCATATTATAGAAAGCCAATGTCTGTGTATGTATGTGTGTGTGCACACTCTCACATGTATCTCAATGTTGTGATACACCATAGAGATCAGACTTTCAGTGACCTCCCTTAGCAACTCAGCAGTTTATTAGATGTCTACTTTATGCAAAGTCAGAATTAACTTTTTTATTAAACTGAAACTCCTCTTTAAATGACAATATAATGTTTCTCTCTTAATGACAATCTTAGTTATTTGAAGACTATAAACATTGTCTTAACATATCTGCTTATCTGAATTGTTTTTCACTCCTGCACAGAAGTTTCAAAAGTTACATAAAAAACATTCTGAACTGAAAACCTTAAGTATTTCTACAAGCAAGGGGAGCAAAAGAAAACGTTCTAGAAAAGGTATTTTATGTAATTTCTGTTTAATAATCTTAACTGTTAATAGTGCTAATAGCAAAAAAAAGTAGTTCTTATATTAGTCATTTTAAAGAACTAAAAAGTTTCCAGAACATAATTGAAAGTATACATGCCAACATTTTGTGAATTTTTTTTCCAGGTAAATTGAAGAATAAAGAAGAGGCTGACAGGTGTGTAAAAGCTAGCATAAATAGCTTATGCTGAAAAATAGACATTTTGCCTGTCTTAACAGTTCATCTGTGGGCTAATGCCATCCCTGTATAAACTGTGATATAATATAAGCTATTAATTTTTAGACTTTTAGAGTCTGAGTTGAAAGGGGACTTAAAGGTCTTTCATTCTCAGCAGTACCTAGCAAAGAAACTGTTCTCCATTATCCCTTCCTGGTGGACATTTGGTCTCTCCTTAAAGTTCTTCAGAAATGAGGTCATTAGCTTAACAGATAGCTCATTCCTTTCTTTGCCAGCTCTGTTTGTTAAAAAGTTTTCCCTTATATCAAGCCTCACATCTACCTCTTTAGTTCTAATTACTGGCCTCGGGCCGGGTAGAACAGATTTAATCCTCCTGCCATATGTAATTCATCCAGCTTTTGAAAATGGCTATCTGGGGCAGCTAGGTTGCGTGGTGGATAGAGCTCTGGCCCTGAAGTCAGGAGGACCTGAGTTCAAATCCAACCTCAGACCAAACACTTGACACTTACTAGCTATGTGACCCTGAGCAAGTCACTTAACTCCAGTTGCCTTAAAAAAAAAAGAAAGAAAGGAAAGAAAAGAAAATGGCTATCATTCAGCCTAAAGTCTTTTCTTCTCTAAGCGAAACATCCCAAATTTTTTTGGCCAATCCTTGTATGGCATAGTTTCAAGTTCACTTACTATCCTGGTCTCTTTCTTTCATTCTTGTTGCCCTTTGTCAGTGTCTATCCTGTAATATGCCTGGAACTGAACATAGCACTCTATATATGACTAGGACAGTTCATTATTTTAGGTTTCCAATTAAACATGGTGAAAATAACAATAGTTAAATCATTTCGAATAAAATATAGCCAATGATTTGTCTTTGTGCAGTCAACAATCTTCAAATGAAGCCCAGTGGCAGGAGCTTACTCAGTATTTTGGAATAAATGATAAGTTTGAACCCTTCATAAGTAATAGAGCTCTTCTGAAGGTAAGTTATTTTATTTTTTGTTTACTTCAACCATATTGGATGAAGAGTCATTCATCCCCCAGCCTTAATACCTAAGATTTACTATAAATAAATCAGGCCAGTACTGGTGGAGTTATTAAGAGTTGTGTTCAGAGAGTCACACGTCATTTGCTTAAGTATTTCTCATATTTAAGACCTGTCCCTTTAAAGCATTTCCTTTGTGAGACAGAATTTTCACTTTTCCTCTTTTTGTCTAGATGGCTTGTTCTCCAGGTTAAGTGGTTTAGGTTGCTGATTTTGTGGAACTGAGTTATATAGATGATATTTGTCTTATTCTTTGAGCTCAGTTTAAATTTTCAATAAATACTAACTACAGAGGCGCTTTGCTAGGCACTGGGAACCCAAAGATACAACACAGGGCCCACTTTGAAGAAAATTACATTCTAACGATGGGAAGGGCAAGTCCATGAATAATTAAGATAGAAAGGAGGGTATGGATAAATACAGGAGAAAGGTCTGTAAAAATTTGAGGCCAGAGAAATCAGTTTCTCCTAGAGGAGTCCAGTAAGACTTCATGAAGGAGGTAGCATTTTAATTGGGCCTTGAAGGCAGAAGAATACTCAACAGTTGGAAATAGGAAGGAGCCAATGGAAAGGAAAGAAGGAGCCAAATCTAAGTATATGGATATAATGTGACCAAGGGCATGGAGACAGAGGGTGGGTGGAAGTAGAATAGTCTCATTTGACTGGAATGTAGATTGTGCAAAGGAGAGTGGTAGACAAGGATACCTCTGACAGATAAGTCAGAGGCTAGATTCACTGGGCCTTTTTAGGGCCAGGAGTTTATATTTTATTTGATAGGTGACAAAGAACTGCTGAAGGTTTTTAAGTAGGGGATTGAAATAATAATTGAACTACTTTAGAAAGATTACTGAGGTCATTGTAGGGATAGAGAGACAGGAAGCAGAAAGACCATTCATAAGATCATGGCTTTAGAGCTGAAAGGGACCTCAGAATTCAAGTCCAACCCTCTTGTTTTATAGAGGAGGTAACTGAAGCCTAGGGTGATTGAGGGATTTGTTCAAGATCACACAGGTATGGGCAGTAGGGGCAGGATTTGAACACAGGTTCTTGAATTCTATAGTCACTGCATTGTACGTTGCTGCCTCTTAGCTGTGGTTCCTAGAATCGTTTAGCCACAGATACATTTTATATCTAGTGACCTGAAGTGCGAAGAGGCCAGATTACTTGTCTGAGATAAAGTCAGTGGCAGAGATGAAATAGAACCTTGGGATTCTTCACTTCTTTTAATACTCTTCTATTCCTGAGACTAGAGGTAAGACAGCCTTCCAAAAGTAGGATAACCTAGTTGTTAGACCAGATTTTCCTTGTGTTCTAGGAGGGGTAGGGAAGGAAGTGGGGGAGGAATGGTGTTAACTTCATTGAATTTCAAAAACAGATGGAGATATGGAATATACGAGTAGCAGCTGGCCAGTGGAACACTGAAAACCTGTACACCATCTTTAGCACACATGCTGTAAATTTTTGGCCTCTGCACTATATTCTGCTTTTTAAGAATATAATAAAATCTTCGTCCTTTAAGGAAAAAATGTTTTGTATAATTAAATTTCTTACTTGGGCCTGGGCCATGAGAAAATTCTTGTTCTAACATTGTTTAAAGCATTTATTGTATGCTTAGTGGTAAAATCATAAGTTTAGATGTCTAAATTGGAGTTGATTAGTGCGGTTATATCATTGAAATTGTTAAAATTATTTTTAATATTTTTGCCACTGAATGTGCTGGAAAATATGTAACAAGTACTTCTGTGATTTATTTATTATACTTTTAAATTACATTACATATTGAAAGCATTAATTTTTGAAACATGTTGCTAATATTGCATGTTCATGCACTATAAACTAATAACCTTTATTTGGGATTGACACTAAGGTTCTTTGTGACATGCAAGTTGTCTCAAAGTTCTGAGAAATTCTTGTTAGTGATCAACTTTACTAGCAGTACTGTTGTGTTTTTAATCCTTTGCCTTGCAAAATAGATGCATTCCTGAAAAGTTTCATGTTAATCAAATCATGTAAAATATTTTGTAAAATGAATGATTACAAAAGGATTCTTCCTGATTTATCTGCCTTGTAAGGTTGAATTTTCTTAAAAGCTGGCAGCAGGTGCAGCAGATAGAGCACAGGCCCTGGAATCAGGAGGATCAGAGTTCAGATTCAGCTTCAGACATTTACTAGCTGTGTGACCTGGACAAGTCACTTAAGTCTGATCCTCCCCCTCCTTTCCCTCCCCCCTCAAAAAAAAGGTAGCAGACAGAAAATCTGACCCCAAACCAGACTTTGCCTGGGTGACCTCAGGCAAGGCCTTTAATCTTTCCATGTCTTAGTTTTCTCAGTGACCCAGTTGAATTATATTAGAAATTCTTAACACCTAGAATATAAACATATTAGAAAATAGGCTGATACATGAAACCAGAATTGATATAAAACAAAATGGAAACTGACAAACTAAATTTCACTAACTGAAACTTTTAAAGAAGGTAGCAAAAACTATTGTTTCACCATACAGAATTATTCTTTATGATAGCCTCAAGTTAGGACTTTGACATAGTACTTTTAGTAAAAGAGGAAAATACATAGTCAAGGCTTTCATTTTACAGATGAAGAAACCGAGGTCCATAAGTTTTCAGGCTCAGTAACAGTCAGAGATCCAACTAGAACCAAGGTCTCCTGGTACCCAGTACAGTGTTTATGCCACTTTACCATGCTACCTATCATCTTTATTTTGTGTGAAAATACTTTTGGAAATTAGTATGTTATTAGCTCTTATACATCAGTACATAGATTTAAAAAATGAAAACTATTACAAATACATCATTTCATACAGTTAGGTATAAATGAGAAATGCAGGGGTTTTTTTCCCCCTGCTCTACTAGATAATGACTTTCAATCAGTGTTCAGTAAGGAAGCCGCATATCTTAAAGGAATATTTGACACTTGGTATAGCAATTAACATTTTTGGTAGAATATCAGCTTACTTACAGGCAAAATTATGTGTGGGGGTGGAGTATAAAATACGTAACATAAGTTTTTGGTGCTAACCAGAATGGGATGAACCTAGGTCTCCGGATTTTGTAGAAATACAAAAGGAGGTCAGATACTCTTATGTTTCTCTTGGGCTTAGGTATGAATGCATTAAGAGGGAAAAAGCAACAGTTTTCAGAATTCTTTTGATACAGAAAGTAAGCAACACAAGAGAATGAATGCTGTTAGAATACAAGTGACTGAAAAGAAAGGCTTAAGGTTTAGGGCTGTGTTGAGATGGAACTTCGGTAGTGAAAGGAAAGCTAGTTTTCTATGGACAGTTTTATTGTATTTCAGTAGAATTGAATGACCCTGAGTGTGGGTACTATGTTATGACAAAAGTTTTTTTTTTCGTGGATGAAGCATCTTTTGCCATAACACCTGGCTAAAAATGTCCCTAACCCCATTATTGCTATAAAAATAACATACATAAAGCAGAGCAATAAAGGAAACCTTGGGTTGAATTGAATAGGCCATGTACTGCCCTTAGAGTATTTAAGAACCCAGGTTTCTAGTCCCAGGAGTTCTGTCACTAACTCAGACCAGGCACTTCATTCCTTTGTGTCTGAGTTTCCTTATCAGTAAAATAAGTATTTTAGACAAGATCATTGTTTCCAAAATATTATATTCTAAAATATAATAGTACTATGTAGAACTTAAACAATCTGAATAAGAGTTATGTGAGGAGACTATTGATGCTAATTTTTCCCCTCTAAAATATTAAAATATAAAATGCTTGTTGACTATATGTATTATTTGTGTGTGTGTGTGTGTGTGTGTGTGTGTGTGTGTGTGAGAGAGAAAGAGAGAGAGAGAGAGAGAGAGAGAGAGAGAGAGAGAGAATAGGTTTGACTTCTTTCATTTTACACCAAAATTTCTGTGACCATCCTATCTAGACCCTCCTGGACTGACAGTGTGTTCTATCAGGATACTTAAGGCTCTAGTGTTCCATGGCCAAATTGGTTTGGGAGAGGCTATATTAGATTATTTCTAGGGTTGTTCCTAGATTTTAAAATCCTCTTTTTATTTGGAGATTTAGTTTGTAAAGCTCTAGGTACACTACAGAATCAACAATTGAAATAATCAAGAAACAATCAACAATTTAAATGGTAACTTTATTTTCTAAAAGCACTATAATAAATTCTTTAGAACCAGTTTGGCTCATTTTATTTTATTTTATTTATTTTATTTTTTTTTAGGCAGTTGGGGTTAAGTGACTTGCCCAAGGTCATGGACGCAGCTAGTAAGTGTCAAGTGTTTGGTCTGAGGCCAGATTTGAACTCAGGTCCTCCTGACTTCAGGGCCAGTGCTCTATCCACTGCGCCACCTAGCTGCCCCCTTGGCTCCATTTATTGATTACAGAAGTACTATCATGTCAATTCAAAAAGCTTCAACTGGTTTTTAGACTGGAAAATATAATTGTTATGGGGAGATCTCAAAGCAGTACTCATATAGACCTGTGATCTCATTAATTCAGAAATTCAGTCCACTAAGTGCAGATTGTAACCAACACATGCTTGCCAATCCTTACTGACTCTTGTCCAAGGCCTCCCAAAAGTTCATCACAAGTGGCCCACCCAGGGGGCTGAAGACCTTACTTATTTTTTGCTAATGTTCCTAGGGTACAGCTAGAGCACTTCACCTGTTCGCATGTCATCTTTTGCTCTTACCACATGACCAGCCCATCTTCTGTCATACAATTCTTTAATGAAATCCTTTACTCTTGTTCTTTGATGGACTTGCTTGTTGGTTATATTATACAGGTTGCTCACACCCACCATGTACTTCTTCATTTTCCTATGCATCATATTCAGCTTTAGCTCTTTGCATGCATTAATGTTTCACATCTTACTGCCATATAGTAGTAATACTGCTAAAATATGAACATTAAAAGAGGCCTTTGCTTTCACAGGAAACTTG